AAAAAAAAAAAAAAAAAAGAACAAGCCAATCAAAAACTTTATTTCTGGCTGGGCACGATGGCTCACGCCTGTAATCCCAGTATTCTGGGAGGCCAAGGCGGGAGGATCACTTGAGGTCAGCTGTCACTTGAGGTCAGTTGTTCGAGATCAGCCTGAGCCGGAGTGAGACTTCATTTCTACTAAAAAGAGAAAAAATTAGCCAGGTGTGGTGGTGTGTACCTATAGTCGCAGCTCCTTAGGAGGCTGAGGCAGGAGGATCGCTTTAGCCCAGGAGTTTGAGGTTCCTGTGAGCTAGGCTGACATATGGCACTCTAGCCCGGGCAACAGAGTGAGACTCTGTCTCAAACCCCAAAAAACCAAAAAACCTTTATTTCTGATAAGCCTCTGTCTGTCTCAATTATATACTCCCTCTTTTTTTTTTTTATTTCAACACTTGTTTCAGCAAATTTTTATTTTATTTTTTTTAGAGACAGGGTCTCTGTCACCCAGGCTGGAGTGTGGATGGTATGATCATAGCTCACTGCAGGCTAGAACTGTTAGGCTTAAGTGATCCTCTTGCCTCAATCACTTGAGTAGCTAGGGTTACAGGTGTGTGCCACCACACCCAGCTAATTTTTAAAATTTTTTGTAGAGACTGGGTCTTGCTATGTTGCTCATGCTGGCCTCAAGCAATTCTCCCTCCTTGGCCTCCCTAAGTGCTGGGACTACAGGCGTGAGCCATTGTCTTGGGCAAATTTTTAGTGCCACCTATTCAAAGACTGATTTCTCCTAACCATGGTCCTCCACGATGCATTCATTCCCTTTTGCTGTAGTATGTCTCTTTCAATGTCTATGGCAGTCAATTTATTACACTTTGAGGGATATAGTCACTAGCTATATAGAAAATAACCTTCCAAGTACCACCTTTCATTAATTAACTTGACATAGATTACAGGTTAGGCCCTCTATATTTATTCCTCAAGGAGATTGGATAGTCTCTACTATTTCCTGAATTCCAGTCAACTTTACTTTTTATTTTTCTTCAAATCATGTCCAGTATTACTCAGTTTAGCCTTGCCTTAAGCAATGGTATTTATGAACTAAGGGGGCTGATATGCTAGTGCTATTTCTCTAAATATACATGAAAATGAACATGTAACTATTAAATTAAATATTTTTGTGTACTATCAGAAAATGATCCTGTGATCACCAGTAACTCATGTTTGCTACTATAACTCTTAAAGTTACCTGGCTTTCCTTGTTAGCCCTAGCCAGAGTTGAGCTATTCCTTTTAAACTTCTTTATACCCTAGCATTAGTCAAAACTGTTTTCTTCCTGGTCACTTAAACCTTGACTTGGTTGCTTCCGGAATTAAAAAAGAAAGAAAAAAAGAAAAAATTCCCTAAAACACGATTCAGTTTTAGATACACAATTTACTTGTAATATATATAAGCCATTTGTAATCTTCCTTCCTGCTTTTTTCCTCTGTCAGACTCATTATCTCTTCTCTTGATCAGTTTATACAAGGTCTTCAAGTTCTCTATTCTCTTCCTGTCTAAATGTCAACTCAGTCTTGATTTCTCTCAAATGCTCCATCTAGGAAACACTATCTCTTTCTATGAAACGCTATCTTTTTCAAAATATAATACCTAATCAGATATTTAAAACAAATACTGGCCAGGTGTGGTGGCTCATGCCTGTAATCCCAGCACTTTGGGAGGCTGAGGTAGAACATTCACTTGAGGCCAGGAGTTCAAGACAAGCCTGGACAACATAGCAAGGCAAGACCCTGTCTCTAAAAACAAAAACAAAAAAAGAAATGCTTATATAAGTAACCAGATGAACTAAATGGATTTTGCCCGCCCTCTCCACCATTACTCTCACCAAAAATGTTTAAAGAAAGAAAGTTTGGCATAACTACAGGCAGTTATTACTCCAAAAACATACCAATGATTATTTTTCCCTCTATTTTCTCTAAGATAAAGCGAGCCTGATTGTTCAGTTTAGCAGATTCAGCACCAAGCATTCCTAAGAGCCATTCTTTTCTTAATCCATAATATTTAAGCCTGAGTTCAAAGAAGTCTCTTAGAATATCCAACACTGTGTCATATTTCTTTAAACAGCCCACATGGTCAAAAAGTACCTGGAAAAGGAAAACAAAATTAGAGCCAAGAATAGATAAATTGGCTAAACTTAAAGGTAGCCTAAGATATTCTTTTTAAATTGACATTTATCTTTAATATAAATTGAAACATAGGTATCTCTCACAAAACAAGACATACCATAGAGTTGCATGTGAGACTGGTTTGGAGTCTGAAGACTTTGTGTAGTCCAGCTTTCTCTGTCTCTGCCAGTTTTTCTTCAGTCATCTTCACCACAAATTTTACAGTGGTGTCTGTATGGTATTCCCTATAGTCTGTTATGAGAGGGGGTGTCTTCTCAGTGCCATTCAACATGGGTTCTAGAACCTGCTCCTTATATGTCTAAAGAAAGAAACAATCCTTTTGTAAATTTCTAAAACACAGGCTGCTCCTGAATAGTCAACAGCAACAGTACAATCACAAAACTAAAAAAGGAATCCACAGTTACTTACCTGGGTCCATGTTCTGATGGGAAGCTCTGAGATTTCAATGGTTGTGGAATCAAGAATAGCTACTTCACCACTAATCACATATTGATTTGGAGCCAGCTCTTCAATAGTACCCTTGAAGTTCTTGTAACTTGGAAGCTAAATTGGCATTTTCAAAAAGAGTATGTTTTCTAAATGTGATACTAAAGACAGAAATCACAATGGCATTCAACAATAAATCTAATTATGAAATATGAAATAAATTTTGTATTTGAATCCTCTTTAATCATATAGACTACTCATTGAAACTTGAGAAGTAAAGTTCCTAATACACACAGAATACTTACCATTGGCAGAGGTTCTTCTCCATCCATCAAACGCCTGATGTTATTTACAACTTCACGAACATCAAAGTTAGGGATTTTGCAGGACCACCCAGTACCTATTCCTTCGGCTCCATTTATCAGGACCATGGGTATAATAGGAATGTACCATTCAGGCTCAACACGTTGGTTGTCATCATATAAGAACTTTAATGTGTGATCATCTTTTGGTGGAAATAACAACCGAGCCAAAGAGCTAAAATAAATAATCAAAGAATGTTATTTTACAGAAATACTTACTTTGCGGTTTAACTTTCATGGAAAGGACATGTGCTATCTCATGTCTATACACGAAAGTTACCCTGGCTTTACTTGCTGACTAATATTCATTTAGCAGTATTTACTGAGCACTTTCTATGTGTCAGGCACAGGGATATAAAGTCTCAGACGTCAAGGAACTCACATTCCAGTATAGGGAGATTGACAAGAAACATATTTTCTCAGGTGGTGGAATAACTGCTAAGAAGAAAAATAAAGAAGGAGAGTAACTGAAGGGGTGCTAAGGAAAGAAAAGCCCTTTCTGATAGGAAAACATTTGAGCAGAGAAAAGAAACTGAGGGAATGAGCCATGTGGATATGTAGAGAAAGAGTGTTTCAGGCAGAGGGACCAGTAATTAAAAGGCCCTGAAGAGGGAATGTGCTTGGTATGTTTGAGTATAGGCAGAGGCCAGCGTGGCTGGAGTAGAGATGGTATGAGAAGGAATCAAAAGTTATGGGGAGTGGGGACACAGATTTTACAAGATCTGGGTAGCTAAAAATAGGTCTTTAGATTTTGCTCTGAATGAGCAGTTGGAAGACTCTAAACCAGAATGACTTACTTTTTTAAAAATTGGCTATCACAGGCTGGGTGTGGTGGCTTACACCTATAATCCTAGCACTTTGGGAGGCTGAGGCAGGAGGATCTTGCTTGAGCTCGGGAGTTCGAGACCAGCCTGAGCATGAGCAAGACCCCATCTCTACAAAAAAATAAAAAAAATTAGCTGGGTACAGTGGCATGCACCTGTGGTCCCAGCTACTCAGGAAGCTGAGGCAGGAGTACTGCTTGAGCCCAGGAGTTCAAGGTTGCAGTGAGCTGTGATGATGTCACTGCACTCTAGCCTGGGCAAGAGTAAGACTGGAAAAGAAAAACCAAAAAACACAAAAAACCCCAGAAAAGATGGTAAATTAGATGACCAGGAGTAGCTTAGTTGTTTTTCAATGCAGAGCCCATAGGATTTGCTGATGGATTGGATACAAGTGTGCAAGTGTTGAGAAAAGGAACCTTGATGACATCAAGTTTTTAATCCTGAGCAATTAGAAGGATGGCATTCCATTTATTGAGACAGTAAAACTTAAGGATTTGGTTTTGGACTTATGTTTGAGATACTTATTAGATATCCAAGTGGGAAATGTTGAATGGGCAGTCAGACATAAAAATTTAGAGTTCAGGGGAAAGGTCAGGACCGGAGATTTAAAGCTACAAAATTGGATGGATGGGACATCATTTGGGAAGTGAGTGTAGGTAGCGGAAAGAGATCTAATGAAGGACCCCTGGGGTAGGCCAGTATTTAGGTTGGGAAGATGAGAAGAACCCAGCAAAGAAGGGTAATAAGAAGAGAACCAACAGAATCTATTGTCATAGATGCTAAATAAAGTTTCAAGGACAGAGCAATCAATAACTGTGTTGAATGCCACTGAAAGGTTGAATAAGATGACAGCTGAAAACTGACCATTCATAATGTACTTTCCATAAACTTGTAAAGGAGTAAGATTTCAATTGTGATACTTAGGAAGAATCAAAGTCTTACTTACTCTAACCCAAACCCTACATCACCGTTTCTCTACCTTGGCACTATTGACATTTTGGCCTGGATAATTCTTTGTTGTAAGGGGCTGTCCTGTGTATTAGAGGGTTTTTATAGTAGTACCCCTGGTTTCTGCCCACTAGATGCCAATATTTTCTGATTAACTAAATTTTTGTATATTTTGTCAACTAAATCTCACATTGCTTCAAAACTTGGGGAAATGGTAATTCACTGGAAATTGAAAGCATACATACCTAAGCATTGTGAAGATGTATCGAGGACTAGCAGAATCCTTGCCACCATGTAGCCTGGTACCAAACTGACCAATAGGCTGCAAGAGGTTTAGATTATTGCTACCCACAAAATTCTGAGCCAAATTGATAATGGTCATCATCAGTGACATCTGGGGGAAAAAAAGATTCATTAATCTGTGTAGTGTAATAATACATATGCATTATTATGACTAAACCTTACTGTAATCCTGTAAGGTCTTATCAGATTTAGTTGTTTGGAGACTTTTCCTAGATAAATAGATGGCAGAAGTAGTACCTAAACCTAAGACTTCTAGCTCCAAGTTCAGGACTCTTGCCTTCCAACAATATGTATCTAATTAAATCCTCCTCAACTTTGAAGGCATAGTTCCTTTCCTTACCCTCAGCAAAATGAAATATTCCCTTCTTTGTGTTACAATACTTCATTCATTTCTATTCTAGTATTTTATTCTACAGTTGTGTGTGTATTGACCGTCTGGCTAAATTGTTATTATGCCCTGAGGGTAGGGAACATTTTTTGTTTATCTTCGTAATACCAGGTAACATAGTAGGCACTCAACAAATGTTTGTTGGGTGAACATTTACTGAGTCCACACTATATTTTGATTTAAAGCAACAAGGAAGACAACCCTTATATTTAAATTTCTAGAAACTTACAGGCAATCTAGTTCTTTAAAAATTGTCTTACATAATGAATGCAAAAAAGCAATTAAATCACAAAATAAAAAAGGAATACATGTTGATATAAAGTCAAATAATTCAGAAATATGTAAAAAGTGAAAGTTGCCCTCTCCAGTTCCCAGAAATAACTAACATTAACAATTTGGAGTGCATCTTCTAGACATTTTGTTTTAAGTATTGTTCTGCCTTTTCTTTTCCCCATCTGACAATAGACCATGGACATTCTTCAGTATTAGTGCACAGTCTTATTTAAGTTATAGCACTGATCCTATGCATACATCTGTCATAATTTATTGTAACAGTTTTCCAGTCAGTGGACATTTTGGATGTCTAAATTTTAACATCACAAAGTTTTAATAATAAATATCACCAAATATCTTTGAACATAGATCTTTGCAGACTTATGAATATCCTTACAGGAATATTATTTCTAGAAATCAAAGGGCAAGCACACTTTATATTTTGATAGATTTTACCAAATGGTTCTCTACTACAAATATACCAGCTTTTACTTTCACCAAACATGCTTTTAGCTTTTTTTTTTTTTTTTTTTTTTTTGAGACAGAGTCTCACTCTGTTGCCCAGGCTAGAGTGCTGTGGGGTCAGCCTAGCTCACAGCAACCTCAAACTCCTGGGCTCAAGCAATCCTTCTGCCTCAGCCATGCCCGGCTAATTTTTTCTATATATTTTTAGGTGTCCAGCTAATTTCTTTCTATTTTTAGTAGAGACAGAGTCTCGCTCTTGCTCAGGCTGGTCTCAAACTCCTGACCTTGAGTGATCCTCCCCACTCGGCCTCCCATAGTGCTAGGATTACAGGCGTGAGCCACCACGCCTGGCCCAAACATGCTTTTAGAATAACATTGCAGGTATTTTTGATGTAATGCTTTCTGGAAACATTACGGATTGTGTGTTTACCTCACCATGATGATAAGAAGACATTTCAGCCACTGACCCAGCTAACTGGGCAACCTTCACCTCTCGCTTGTCATTCCGTTTGAAACAAGTAAACAAAACCTTTCTCTGACCTGGTTTCAAACCTTTAAAATGAAAGAAGGGCAAACGTAAGTATCTTCAATTTAACCATTTCTGGGCATTGATTTCCATCTTACAATAAAAACAGACTAACAAATTGGAACTCACCATCCACCATAGATGGGATAGATCTCTCATTATCGGAATTTGAGAACAAGATAAGTTCCTTGTTTATGAAGTCATTATATGTCAGATATGTGGTAGTTTGCCCATACAAGTAATCCTGAGGGACCAAATAGAGTATTACATGAGACCCCTTGTTTTAACAATGCTAAACACAAAAATGAAACAAAAAAAACCTCTCAGAACTATCATTTCTAAGAAAATTCTTAAGTCCTTCAGAAATATATAATTATACAGAAGTACTTTATATGTTTTAAAAGGCATAGCAAATTTAATCACTGTATAACTTTAAAAAGTACATTCCCTTTGTAATTTCTTTCAAACTCAATATATTTATTCAGTAGTTCAAATATTTATGTAGTTATCTACTATAGTAAATTTTTTACTGAAATAACTATTAAGCAAGTTTAATTTGCTATATCAGTCCAAAAAGGTCACTCAAATAGTACATTTGTGGGATATATTTAAACTTTTTACCTCAGGAAGACCAAGTAACTTTCGTTGTCTTCTATCCTCCATGAAATGAGTTAACCATTCTTTTCGATCATCTATCTGTTTTTTGCTAAAGGCCTACAAATTAAAATATAAAAAAAGATGTCACTGGCACTAACAGGTTGTACAATATCTCTTCTATAAAAAAACAAGCAAACAACAAAAGCCCTGTTTTCTAAAATATCTGATTTCTTCTCTGGGATATGCTTACTGGAAACATTCTATTCTATAAAACACTCATTTAAAAATTAAAATGTTTCAACTGACCAGCTAAAGTAGTGATTTCTAAAATTAAACTCTGTGTGTGTGTGTGTGTGTGTGTGTGTGTGTGTGTGTGTGTGTACACACACACACACACACACACACATATATGAAATACAACTCAAACTGACCAGGCTGATTGCAGCATCATCTTCAGGACCAGAATATTTGAACTGGATACGATGTCTTTTCATATCTGCAAAGTATTCTTTAGCTTCTTTTGATGTGCTGGTGCCCAAACCTACAAAATCAAGAACACCAAGTTATCCCACATAATCTCGTACAAGGGTGTATAATAAAATGAAAAGGTCTATATGGGTTTCATTACAAACCTTTGTAATACTTGACTTTCCATTTTTTATGATTTGGTGTGGAACTCTTCCATTCCTCAAATTCAGGAAGGCTATAGAATGCCATTTCTTGCTTGTTTTTAGACACCTGTGGTAAAGAAGAACACATAGTTGTGGCTTTGTACACTGTGGGGTCGTCTGCATACCACCACTCATCACTGAGTTTATATGTGTCATCCAGGTTTGAAGAGTAGGGTCATAAAATATCCATTATGATTATCTTATAAATAAAGGTAAAATAAATACCTTTACAATGGGAGTGATAAATTCCTCCAGAAAACGATGTCTCAGAAGAGAGGGCCAGTTGTGATGGATAAAATTAATCAGCAAGCCTTTGATATGGGAACCGTCTTGGTCCTAGAAATATTTGAAAAGCCAAAGCTCAAAAGTACTGTTTGGAAACTAAAAAGGCTGTTCAAATCCAGACTCACTTAACCTGTATATGTAACATACATATGATATAAGCACATCTGACTAGATGTTCATTAGAGATAATAAATAAAGCTCCTAGTTAAGTAATTTCTTTACATGGCAGGAAAGCAATGCAATATTAAGATACACTTAATTTAGTTCAACAACCTAAAATGTCTGATAACAAATCTGACCTGATCTGTCATAATCATTATCTTTCCATAACGAAGAGTTTTCAATGAATCTTCATCTTCATAGTTTTTCTTGTACTGAAGACCCACAATCTTGATGATATTGTTTATTTCAGCATTTTCCATGATCTGAAATGGACATATACCAAAAAAAAAGTGTTTTTAAAACTTTAAACTTGAAAGGAACAAAGAAGTATGACAGTATATGTTGCTTGGGCTTTCTTGAGCTCCAGTATTTTGAGTTATTAATTAGCCTATACTTTAGTAAGTCAGAAAGGTTTGTTAAGATATGCTACAATTTCTTAAAATAATCACAAACTGTCTAAAATTTCAAAATGCCCAATGAGGGAATGAAATATAAGCATGAAGTCCTATATTATAAACTAGATTTAGATTCTAGAGATAGTTTATATCTACCTGTTTATGAGAAGCTTCTCGAACGTTGAGTATTTTTCCTCTAAGAGGGAAAACCCCATATTTGTCTCTCCCAACCACACCAAGGCCTGAAACAGCCAAAGTTTTGGCTGAGTCTCCTTCAGTCAGGATAAGTGTACACTCAGTGGAGTTTCGGCCTCCTAAAATAAAAATATACAAATTAATATTAGCATATTTAGTTCAACCTCAAATATACTAACTTGGACATGCTGTTAATAGCCTTGTGATAAAACACAAATAATTTACAATACATAACAAATTGGCTTAATAAGAGTAAAATGGAGCCAACAATTTGATATATATTTTAGCTAAAGTTCACAGTAAATAAAAAATAACTTAGTTCCTTAATTTGTCATCGTGATACTTATACTGCTGCTAAACATTCACTTGATTATATTATTTTAAAATTATTTTTAGGGAATAGATCACTAAAGAAACATTCTTGCTTTATACTCCAAAACAATCATCTCAACATTATTTATAACAACCTAAATTTGGAATGTTCATTAATGAGGGATTGGTTGATTTTTAACAAAATTAGTCCCGTTAAATATGAAATGTCAAAGGAAAAATCTCTATGATATGCTGTTAATGGATAAAACAAGTAACTGAACTACAGCTTAAAGTCTGGGAACATTATTAAATGTGTACCTGCATCATTGGCATCATCAAGTTTGGGAATTCCCTTGATTCTGTTATGTTTCACAGCTGAACACTTCTTGTTTAACTGGACTTGGGCCTTAAACTTCACCCAGTTTAGTATGCTTTCTACAATACCACACCCAATTGCCTAAAAATGAGAAGATTCGTATTAGGGAAGAAGGGTTCTGTCAGAAATCTAAAATACAAATGAGCCTCCATAACAATAAAAATATTTCAAAGATATAAAAAGAGGTAGAACAAGAATTTTTGGATAGCTGGTGGCACATCTTCTTGTGTCAGATTATCATCACTGAGGGAGCTAGTTCCTTTTGGTTCATTTGTTCAGTAAATGTCTACTATGGCCTGGGCGTGGTAGCTCACGCCTGTAATCCTAGCACCCTGGGAGGCCGAAGCGGGTGGATGGTTTGAGTGCAGGAGTTTGAGACCAGCCTGAGCAAGAGCGAGACCCTGTCTCTACTAAAAACAAAAACAAAAACAAAACAAAACAAAAAAAACCAAAAAACAAAGAAATTAGCCAAACAACTAAAAATAGAAAAAATTAGCCAGGCATGGTGGTGCATGCCTGTAGTCCCAGCTACTTGGGAGGCCGAGGCAGTAGGATCGCTTGAGCCCAGGAGTTTGAGGTTGCTGTGAGCGAGGCTGATGCCATGGCACTCTAGCCCAGGAAACAGAGTGACACTGTCTCAAAAAAAGAAAAAAAAAAAGGAAAATTAGTCGGGTGTGGTGGCACATGCCTGTAGTCCCAGCTACTCAGGAGGCTAAGGCAGGAGGATCACTTGAGCCCAGGAGTTTGAGGTTACAGTGAGCTATGATGACACCACTGTACTCTTGCCCCGGCAACAGAGCAAGACTCTGTCTCAAAAAAAAAAAAAAAAAAAATTTACTATGTACTTATACTGTGTTAGGCACTGAGCTACCTGTTGGAGATACAGAGGTTAAATTAGACATGATCCTTGTCCTCAGAGAGGCCAACAGAGAAGATAGAAAACAAATTATGTATAAGTGAAAAGTTTGCTGTGTATATTTCAGGCAGAGGGATTAGCATGTGAACAAGCTCTATGGAGGGGAAAGAGTACTGTGCTTTTGAGTAATTTAAAACCAATAGGAATGAAGCTTAGACAACATAGGAAAAAGTGGCATTGAGATGAGGTTGGAGAAGTAGGTGGGATTAGATTATGGCAGATCTTTCTTATTAGCCAAATTAAGGAATTTGGACTTTCCTGAGTGGAAGTCATTGAAAGATTTCAAAAAAGAGTGAAGATAAAAATATATGCTTTAATACAAAAAGGTCACTCAAGAACATTGCAAAGAAAGGACTGAACCAGCATGAAAGTTAAGAACCTATCATAGTAATTAATCTGAAAAAGAGATAATGATAGGAGGCTATGGAGTTATCCAAGAGATGATTCTTATTAACTGGACTAGAGAGGAGCGGAAATAAAGAGAAGGTTCCCAGCTTTCTTGTTTATGGAAACTAGTGGCTGGTTGGGGCTTTTTACTAGGACAGGTAACTGTTGAGGGGTAGGGAGTTCCTTGCATGGGGGTCAGTGAGTATGGAGATAACTAATTGTTTTGGATATGTTGATTAAGAACGATCTTAGGTATTTAAGTGACGGTATTTGTTAAGCAGTTAGATGAATCCAAAAGTGAGCTAAGCTGAATAATAATATGTAATTGGAAAATATTGGCATATAGATGGTAATTAAGCCCTTGGTAAAACCAATGAAGGAAAAAGCTATTTTTTACTTCCTTTTCAGATTAGGAAGACTTGGATAAATGTACTGTGGGAGGAATCTTTGTTTCTGCAGAGCAGGAAGAGCAATGGAAAATAAAGTTAGGTGCTTCTATTTTTATTTCTGTCTAAGTACTCACAGCTTTGATAAATTTTTCACTTAATTGGCACGTTGATCCAAAGCTCTTGGCTTGTAAAGTCATGTTTTCTTTTGTCTGAGAGTCAAAGGTTGGGTTTTCAATTAAAGCATTCACAAAAATCCACATGTGATTTTTCACCTGCAGTAAGAGTTGGTATTAAGTCACTAAAAATGTACTCAATGCTTTATTTATATTTCTCTTCTTCCTTGACTTTAGAAAAAGAAAACTGTGCTAAAATACCATACCTGATGTGCTTTTACTGCAACACCACCCTTGTTCTTCTTCTTCACAACATCAACAAGTTTAGCCACAATTTGATCAGCTACATAATCAACATGTCTGCCACCCTAATGAGGAAAAATACCAAACTATAAAACTTAGTATCTTCAAATTATAATAATAATCAAACATTAAAAATATCTAATTTATCTTCCTTTATACCAAGGTAGCCCACTATTCAAGTCCATTTTATATATTAAAAAACACTAAGAACAAGTATATGTAAATATAAATCATGATTAATAATTCAAGAATAAAATTACCTTGGAAGTAGCAATGCTGTTGACAAAGCTAATTTGCTGAAAGCCTTTTTCGCTCATTGTTAAACACACTTCCCACCTGTGGTTTACTTGTTCATGTATTACTTTCAATGGGTTGCCAGTTTCATCTACCTTATCTTTCAAATACATATCCACATAACTACGAAATCCTTTTACCTGTACAGGAATTAAAGGTAATGGTATTAAAAAAAGTTATAAAAAGTAGACTTAATATTAGACTATGAGTACTTTTCAAAATAAATGCAATGATGTTCACTAATGGGCATATAAGAAATAGTAATCAAAGAAGGACACAAAGTATTTAAATGATTCTTTTTTTTTTTTTTTTTTTGAGACAGAGTCTCACTGTGTTGCCTGGGGTAGAGTGCCGTGGCGTCATCCTAGCTCACAGCAACCTCAAACTCCTGGGCTCAAGTGATCCTCCTGCCTCAGCCTCCCGGGTAGCTGGGACTACAGGCATGCGCCACTGTTCCCGGCTAATTTTTTCTATTTTTAGTTGTTTGGCTAATTTCTTTCTATTTATGGTAGAGACGGGGTCTTGCTCTTGCTCAGGCTGGTCTCGAACTCCTGAGCTCAGGCAATCCTCCCATCTTGGCCTCCCAGAGTGCTAGGATTACAGGTGTGAGCTACAGTGCCTGGACTTAAGTGATTCTAGGAAGAAATTCTTGGCCCTGTGAGGCGGTTCACGCCTGTAATCCCAGCTAATCAGGAGGCTGAGGCAGAAGGATCGCTTGAGCCCAAGAGTTTGAGGTTGCTGTGAGCTAGGCTGATGCCACAGCACTCTAGCCTGGGCAACAGAGTGAGACTCTGTCTGAAAAAAAAAAAAAAAAAAAAGAAATTCTTTCAGTAAGTTTAAAATGAACTGATTAAAAAAACATGGTATACCATTCTCTTTTCAGGAACGTATCTGAGAAATGATAAGAAACACACATGGGAGGGAAAAAAAAAATCAATTTTGCACTTGACAGAGATCATAAGGTCCCCTATTATCCTTAACATACAAGAAAATACTCACTGGCAGCTTATTTCCATTAAGAAAGACTTTGACATCTTTGGTAGATCCAGCAATATCATATGCTCGTCTAACCATCAGTGCAACAATATCTTTGTCCAGGCTTTGCATTTTAAACTTAGACAAATCAGGCTGGAAGGTGATACATGTATAATCTTCTCCATTAAAGGGCTTGAGTTCCATCTCACCAGCTCTCCCCATGTTATCCCTCCATGTCTGTGGAAGTAAAGAATAGGAAGGATGAAAAACTCAAGTCATCTCACAAACAAACTAGAACAGAATACCACAAATTTATGAGTCCTAATAACCTAATATATGCTCACAAATAATTTTCCATGATTCAATAGCTCATCAATTATGTTAAATTAAACCAACCATTAATGCCATTATAAATGGCTATACTACAATTTATCATCAAGGCACAAGATACCTATTTACTTGCCTGTTTGAACATTTTCTTGTATTCTCTACTGGCTGTTTCCACAGTAAATTTGGTACTGAATATGTTACACAATTTGGCTCCATAGCCATTTCGACCACCTGGGTGAATAAATATGAAACATTATTTTATTGTTACTATCTCATTGACAGCTTTATTTCTTAATCACTGGCAAAGCTATTCAATTATAGAGATTTATTTCCATATTTTTAACCCTCATGCCACAGCCATTTAAAAGATGTATTTTTTCAGCAACAAATATGTTCTTTAGTTTCCTTCAAGACTGTACCTGTTACTTTCTTTTCATCATCATCATAGTTACTAGAAGTTAGGAGCTGTCCAAATATGAGAGCTGGGACATACATCTTCTCAACTTTGTGTTCAACAACAGGAATACCTTTTCCATTATTCCATATACTAATTAAATTGTTTTCCCTAAGAAAAGATTGAATATTTTATTGTATAACAAATGTGAAACTAATACTTAACACTTAAAAAATATTTAAATACTATTATTTCTAAAATATGTAAATTCACAAGCCTCAATTTCTTTATGACTCTTTTCATATATACCCTATAAAAAGTCAGCATGAACAACCTTTCCTACCATGCTTAGTTCCTGACACTCTTGAAATCAGAACCAAGAGGAAAAAAATAAGTAAACCTTTTCCAACGACTGAGTAGACACTGATAATGTTGAAAAAATATGAAATTTAAAAATAAAAATGTTAGGATAAACAAAGGGAAATGATTTATGCCCAATGGAAAGGACAAAATTTGGAGACATTATTATACCACTTTTAAGAGGATCATTTGGACATCTCTAGTTCCCTTAGTTTTCCTACCCGGCAAAGCACATTGCAAAACATTATCAATGGGAAATTGATAGGGGAAAAGGGAAAAACATTATCAATCATAAACTGCCCTGCTCATCAATAAAATGTCAAAAACTTGTTTGGATTTGTTTCTTAATTATTGTAGGTTAATTTTCAGAAGATAATGTATTTTAGTTGTAACTGGACATATACTGTGGTTCTCTTTCTAAATAGTACTTACAATTATCCATAAAAAAGACTAATTAAAACTAGCAACAGTTTTGGAAAGACTATGATTATTGAGTCCTTAGAAGCATTGGAGTATAGTTTATGTCATAACTGACCAGGCTAATAAAAAGGTGAAACAAGCACCCTGACTACCCACAAAGGGATACCCAGTATTTAGAACCAGAAATGTTTGATCAAATTATTCTCTACCACCACCTACTGGTGGTAGAGAATAACATCATGAGAAAAAGTTAAAAAAAAAAAAAAGACAACCAGAATACTTAAAGCAATTATTGGAGATGCTTGCCAAAGTATTTATAGATTAAGTGTCATAATGTCTGTAATTTATTTTGAAATGATTCAGAAAAAAATATAGATGGAGAAAATATGGAGATTGTTGATTAACTGTTGGATCTAGGTGGTGGGTATGGTGGGTTGTTCATTTTAGCATTCTGCCTTTCTGTACTTTTGCAAAATTTCATTTTTAAAAAAAGCCAACTACACCAGTTAATCAAAGTAAATGCAACTAATAACAATGAGCTATAACAAACAAAAAATTAAGCAGAATACGTACGGGTCAATTGTGACTCTAATACAAGACATTTTGGGGTCCCTTTGTTTGTTGTCTGCAGCATTAACTGAAATAAAACAAAACACACATTTGTAAGAAATTAAAGTGTTTTAAAAAAACCATTCTTTAACTCTAAGAAAAAAAAATCCCAAACAGCACAGGAGTAGCATTAACAAGGTGTTAATTTAACAATTTTTGTTCATATGACTGTTTCCTAGGAAAAAACTCAACTTGCTGTGCTAGTAGACTGTCTCACCTTTGTCAACTAACTGTATGAAATAACAGGAGCCCTGGCTACAGAGGGTTTGGTAGGAATGATACTTCTTTTGAAGGATTTGACTAGTAGATTGTTACATGAAAGAATTTACTCACCTAGAATCTCATCAAAGATTTTGTACAAACCAGGAACAAAAGTGACTTCCCTATAGTTAATGCCAACATCTTCATCATAAACCCACATTTGCTAGAAAAAAGGCAAAGAAATTCAGTTATTTTTACTCTATGTTTATTCTGTTTTGTCGTCACGATTACTGTTAAGTCTTCTAGATTAAATGCTACAATATATACGGTATATATATATATGATAGTTTAGGGCAGTTCTAGTGACACTCAGTACATGAGGTACAGAAAATTAACCTGGAAAAGTTTACATTTCAACTACTAAGTAACTGCATCTAATTAGCTCGGTTTTACCTGGGTCACTAATTCCACAGAGCCAATGTAGGTGTCTGGGCGGAGCAAAATATGTTCCAATTGCGTTTTCTTTTGATAGATCCTTTCAATAGACAGTCTTTTCTTAGCATCTTCATTTTTCTTTATTTTGTCGATTTTCATATTTTCATTTACAGGCTAGCAATTTTTTTGAAAATAGAAGAAAAGAGATTTTTAATCATAGGTTTATCAGAAACAATGAGCAAAATGTCTACCATGAGACACAACGCAGTCTATCAGAAATTGCAATCTGTTATTGGCAGTGGTGGAATTTACATAGTTTTGTACAAACACCACAATTTCGATTCACTGCAGACAGGTTCGCACGTGTCCGTTTAAACAGACATGTTATCTCACCAAGTGTATCTGTCGTGGAAACTTTTTCCTTGAACAATGTTTTAGATGTCATGGGTAAAACACACCCACTTCTTTCATCTGCTGCACAGATATTTGTGCCTACGATGTCCCAAACACATACAGATTCTAGTACATCAGCAGCAGTTGGGGAAGCTATCAATTCCATCCTTTGGCCACTTTAAAGTTTTGAACACAGGAAGGGCATTTTTTGGAGCCGGCCAGCACCTCAATGGGAACACTGTGCCATGCTCGGCACCTTCCAAGATCGGCGACATTCAATCCCATTTTCGACCAGAGGGCAGGAGAGGAAAGCATTCTGTAAGTGCTACTTAAAGTCGCGCACGTCCCATTGTAATACAGATGGACCCTGAGACGAACTGAATCCTGCCCCTAGAAACCGTAAAACAACACACAACACCCTAGAAGCCAGTTTAGCTGATAATACTTCACTACTAGTACCATAAAGGGCTTCACGCTCTTCACAATCACCCGGGACCCAGGAGATGGGGGTCGATAGGGAATATGGGCTCCCGACCCGTCGCGGGCCGGACCACGGCCCAGGAGATTCACCCCTCACCGGCGGCCAGAGAGATGCCGGGCTTCGCCGAGGCTCCACCACCCGGCCCCTTCCTCGAGCTGTACCTGCAGTGGTGACACCTCCATGGTGAAAGACATGAAGGGGCTCGAGAACCCTGAAAGCGACTAAACCGGCGGGACCCACGAGACAAGCCGGGACCAAGCCGCTTCTCCACGGACAAGCGTCAGTTAGGAAAGCGCCTTCAGTACCGCTTGAACCTTCGTCTAGCCCGCCCAAACCAAACAAGCCAATCCTGGCTTGCTCTCACCGGCTCCAATCAGAAGAACGAGTCGTATCTGATCTTTTTATATCCACCTATGAACAGCCGAGTTGGCATGTTCGAATGAACCAATTAGGTAGGGGAGGCGGGACTAGAGGGATTTCAAAAGGCCCCACTCGGGGACGAAGCGGAGAGAGTGACGAGGCACCTGACCAATGAAGAGGGTTTATTCTCTCAGTGCGGGGAAGGGGAAACTGAAGAGACGAGCGGTGGGAGCGCAAAGGGGTTGCCTGAGGTGCTGTCCCGAGTGAAAAAAAAAAAGGCTATTTATTCCCTAGGAATTGCTAACCTATTTATCCCTGAAATCTAAAAACCTTCCTCCCGTTCTGAGGTTGTTAGCGAGACGAATGGGAGGCTTAGCTCTGTTTTCCTGAGGAAACCGAGCGCGGGCTTTCTGGACAGGCAGCCTGGCCGTTGGGCTAAGCGAATAGGTTCTGGCGTCTGCCTCAGCCCCCCTCCCCCACCGCAAGAATCTATTTTTCAGAGAAAGGGCTACAGTTGTGGTGTTCGGTTTCCACACAATGGAAAGGTATAGCAAGGTCTTGCAAAATAGAGGGCAGCATTCAAGTCCCCGGTAGAGCAGCGCTGGACTGCAACTAGTAAATCAAAAAAGGAATAATTTGTGGGTACAGCCTCCTGAGGCGAGGCTGGGGGTTAGAGCCGTCCCCGCACTGAAACTTTTTCCTCAGACAGCCGTGAGCTGCCTTGTTGGGTTTGCTCTCCTGCCTTTGTGAGCTCTGCAGTTCAGAGCAGCTGTTCACGTTTGGCAAGGAAATGCCAAAGAAGAGTTTTTTGTTATCACTCTGACGTGGAAATGTTTGAGTGGGTTAAACAAAGTTATCGACCGTACAAGATGCTAGAAAAAAGTAGCCGTACAATTTGAATGCTGATTCCATCTGAACCGCCTCCTTCCATTCATTGCTCCCTGTTGAAGCTTCTCGGTGCTTCTGTTTCCTCTGCTAAAAAGGGGGAATAATAATGATATTATATCAGAGTTGTGTGTGGATTACATGAAATAAGTGTAAGGTGTTTAGTAGGCTACGGATAATCAGAATTGGATAGCAGGAATTTTCCTTAGGCTGGTATGACAATTTGCGGATTTAATTCTTTTTTCTTCTAAAAGAAGCCAGAGGGCAACTATCGTTACATAACCCTAGCATGTCCAAGGGAGGGCCAGCGAGGAGGGGTGTGATGTGGTAGGAAGCCAAGGATAGAAGTAGCCCAGGGGTTACAGTGGAACTTTGGCATGTTCTGGTCCCTGACCTCTGGTCCCTGGCCTCCAGCAATCCCTGAGTGTTCTCAGCTCCACTCTGCTCACCGCATGTGTTGATAAAGGAAGGCGACCTCAAAGCACAGGACCACCAGGATCTCAGAGCAGTTGTAGGGGAGCCTGTCCAGTAATTTCTGCCCAGCCAGAAGGCTGACCAGGCCCTGGGCTCCAGGGCCAGCCTGTCACTCTCCGCAGTTTCCCCAGGACACAAGCTGGCCCTGACAGAAACCAGCCATGCCACCTTCTACCTCCTGGAACACAGAGACCCCAAGTAGGGGTGGTGGCCAGGCTTCCCCCAAGGTTGGCAGTCCGGCCTCGGCAGCTCCCAGCCTCCACCCTGTAGCTCATCCCAGCCTGCAGTACCCTGCCAGACCCATCTGGAGACGAGGGAACAGGAATTTAAATAAGCAGCTCTAGCCCTATTTTCCGGGATCCAGCTTTAAATCTCCCCTGCAGTTCAATCTGATCCTGACTATAGGAGTCTTTGTTCCAAAAACCCAGAAACAGAACTAAGGAGTCAAAAGAACTTTAGGGTTACACATACCTGAGTTAGAATTCTCCCTGAGCCTCAGTTTGTTGCCCTATGTCGTTATCCTTTATCAAAGGTACAGAGGGCTAAATGAGAGATCTATGGAAGCCTCTGGGATAATCCTCCAGCCCTCTAGCACAGGATGGTCTTGCTCTGGCCCACCCCCCTTCTTTTCTGGGCACGAGCTAAGCTGTTTCTCTACCAGCCCCTCCCTGTTCCCAGAGTCTATCACAGGGGGTCCTGCAGGACTTGTGGGACCACTGAAGGAGAAATAGGTGGGGGTCTGGGATGCGTGGGCCTGGGACGCACTGCACACAAAGAAGGAATTCCAGATGTCTGCCAGATGCTAGTCTTGGGAGGCAAGACGGGGTTGGGAGTCAGTTCCAGGAGGCTGTGGTGGGGGGAGGGGAAGAAGTTATCTTCATTATCCCCCTGCCCCCACTCTGCTGAGGCCCAAACTAGCAATCCGGACTTTACCCCCATCCCTACCTCCACCTGTACTTGAGTACTTGCATCAGACCCCTGACTAGGGTACCTGCTGGGCATATGACCTCGGGCAAGTCACTTGTATCACTGTGTCTCATTTTTTCTTGTCAAAAGATAAAATTACAAGCAGCCTCCATTCTGCAACGTAGAATGAGAGCTCCCACTGGGCAATAGCAGAACAGTGGATTTTGTAAGGTGGGAACAAGAAAACAGAACAATAGAAAAAAACCGATTAACATCAGGTTACTTTAGGTGACTTTTTTATAAGAGTTAAAGCAGTGGGGACTTCCTTCTTAACACTGACTCCAGTAGACTGGAAAATTTTTCAGGAAAAAGTGGTCTATTTCAGGATCTATTTAATATCTGCTTCCTTAAAGTTTCAGTTTGATTATGTGGCACTTAGCAAGAATGACTCCATTTTGGTTTGGTCTGGTCTGTTGGGGCCCAGTGCAGGCACTCAGGCCCAAACAGTGGCCTCTCAGAATTTCTGTTTAACTATCTAAAATGGGGATAATGAGAGTACCTCTTCCTCCTCACAGGATGATATAACACAGATAAAGTGCTTAGTACACGTACTGCCTGGCAAATAACAAGTGTTCAAAACATGTTAGCAATTATTACCTCTGCCCCTTTCTAGGACATTCCTTCCCTGTCAGTCTCCTAAATCTCTTCCTCCAAAACCGGTTCAAAATTCCCCTCTCCAAGGAGTCTTCTCTGACAGTTTTTTTTCACTGAACTTCCCTCAAGTCTATAGAAGTATATTTGCATATGCGGATGAGTTCCTTTTGTAAGTATTCTTTGGTAGTTTTCTCCTGGGTGGTGAGTATTTCCGTTCTTCCTGCTGAGTGGCAGGGGGAGGGGAGATCTTGAAGTCTCTGTGTCTCCATCATCAATCTGGGAGCTGTGGAGAAAGGACAGTGTCTCCTTTCTCTCCAGGGCTGACTGAGCGGAAGGGGGCTGGACTGAAAGTGTGGCTCTGGATTTGGGGTTTGGAGCTGGCTAGGTTGGAGCCCGCTGGGATTCCTGGATGAGGCTGGGTCAGTGCCAGGCTACTTAGGTGGTTAGGCCTGGGCCAAGAGGCTCTGTTTACCTTGAGGTTTACCACTGGCATGGTCTGGCCAGTCCTTTTTACCAGGGATACCAGCCTTGGGTTGGAGGAGGCCAGGAAAACGCAAAATGTACCATACAGCTGAGCCTCTAGGTGGCCCTTGACAAAGGTGGAGGGTCACCTGGCAGGCTGGGAGGAGAGCAAGGGAGGTTCCAGAGGGGAGCAGCTCAGGACCAGAGATTAATGCCTAAATCTACTCAGAAATTTCCCACAGCAATCTGGCAGTTCTGCAGCCATCAAAAATTTAAAAATGTACATACATTTTAACTCAGCAATTTAACTTCTAGGAATACTGAATTCAGTTCCACAATTGTGCAAAGATATATGTACAGCGTTATTTCTTGTAATATTGTATAATATTGTTTTTAATAGGAAAAAACTGGCAGCAATCTAATGGAATGGAATGATATACAGCTATTGGGGGAATGAAGTCGGTCTAGGTGTACTGATACGGAAATATCACTAAGATATATTAAGTTTAAAAAAAGTGAGATGAAGAGTACTGTGTAAAGCATATTTCATTTGGGTAAACAAAATTATATATGTGTTTATATATATAGTGAAACTATCTGGAAGGAATTGTAAATAGGTGGAGGGGGATGAAGACTTTTCATATTTTTCCTTCTATTTGAAAAGTTTAAAACTATGGACCTGTGTTATTTTTATAATGTAAAAAATTAGCTTAAACAATTTAAAATTATTAATTATGGACCTTGAACTGTAGTTCTCCGTGTTCATTACCTCTTGCGAAAATGCGACTTTCTAATTGTTCATTTTCACCCATACCCTGCGCCTTCCTCACCCATGTCACTTTGTCCCCATCTCACTGATGGCAGGCATACCTGTCCATACAAATTTGTGTGAGAATGTAATTTTTTAGATAGAGATAGATTCTCAGTAGACTCAGGGAACTCAGTGGTCAGAACTCTAGAAAAACTAAATCTCTGGACCAAGTTGAAAAGACAGTGTGTTGTGGTGAGAAGTCCTGGCCTATCTCTGCTGTCACTAGTTGCGTGAACTTGGGTAGATCCCCTCCCCTCTCAAGTTCTTAGTTTCCCCATCTGTAAACTGAAGTCTAGATAGCCCAGCTAGAAGAGTGGGTTGAAAAATGCCTTCCATAGAGTCTAGGAGAGGTGATGGTGAGGATGGGGAAGGCAGTTCAGGGAAGGGAGTCCCAGGTTCTCCAATCCAGAGCAGCTCCTCTTTCATCTTTTCATGGCCTGGGTTCTGTGTAAGATTTCATTGAAAACAGGGATCCATTGCACAGCTTTATTAAAAACCCCATGGACAAGTGATTGGTAAGGGCTCTTCTAGTTCTAACACTGTGTAATTCCAAATATGACTTCTTGTGCACTGAATTGGTCTAAATCAGGGTATGCCTGTGTTTGTCTTTCCTTTCCCTACAGAGCACAGACCAGGGCTGCATAGGAATTCAAGCCCACTGGGGCTGACCCCTGGTGAGTGTGGAGGTGGAGTACAGCCTCTTTTCACTCCTTATGTGACACCCCCACCTCCTGGCCTAGTGGTGTTACTGACTGATTTGTCCT